AAAGAAAAAGGAGGTGAAAGAGGGTGAGAGAGAGGTTGAGAGAGGGAGGGAGGGAAAAAGTAGAAGGAGAAGGAGGAGGATTTTGTTAAACCACCGAGGATATTAAGCTCGCTCCTTTTAAAAATCTCTTCTCCGGAATTCTCTGTACAAAACAATGGAATATATATATATATATACCTGGTACGAGGTCGAGTTGTGGGAAAAATAATTCAACCTACGTACGAAACATGCAACTACCGGCGCGTGTTCTCTTCCTCATGGAATTAAAAGAAAAAAAAAAAGTAAATTTTTACGAAATATTTTGGGAAAGCGCATGGACGATGTTATCTTTGCGAGAGCATTACTTGTCGATGTGTAATGAGGAAAGAAAATCAACGCGAAGAAAAAAGAAAAAAAAAAACTAGTTCTCCGTTTTTTCTTCTCTCGCACAATGAGAGAAAAATAAAAAGAGAAAATTCCGTTAAAATCGTGTGGGGAGATATCTATCGATCGATTCCATGAGGTTTCAGGACGCAGAGGGCAATCGTTATTTTGGTTAACGGAACCATACAACAACCTTTTACACGGGACAGTATTTTCATTGTGACGATGAGATGGAGAGAGAGAAAGAGAGAGCAAGAGAGAGAGAGAGAGAGAGAGCAAGAGAGAGAGAGAGAGAGAGAGAGAGAGAGAGAGAGAAAAAAAGAATAACGGTGATCCAAACGAGGAGAAAAGAGCAGTAGTAACGGTGAGCACGCAACATCCGTGGTACGTCACGATAGAGTCAACTGCAACTACCAACGTATCTCACTCCCGATATGTCTGACTGTATGTCGTTATTTCTACTAAAATTCGTTTGTTTCCAAACAGACACACAACCAACACAACACGAAAGGAACAAAATGCCGCAAATATCTAACGAAAACCGACACTCCTATTTTGCAGTGAAATTCATTGTCATCGGCAGTACATGAGCTAAAAGAAAAATTCTATTCTAATTCGTTCAGAAATTATATTCTCTCTCTCTCTCTCTCTCTCTCTTTTTCTCTTCCCTATTAAAAAGAAACACACTTGGCAAGATTTAGTTTACCTCGTCTCTCTTTCTCTCGAGATTATTTCGTTTATTAAAATAATAAGTTCTTTTTATTGTGTTTATTTAATTCAGTCTCTGAATTTGATGAAACTTTGGAATATCCAGCAGACGATATAAAACGACATTGATTATTAAAATTAATTCATAGCTCTTATATTATGTATATATAGTATTTGTCTTCGACAAGGTAAAACGTTTTCTTTTCTCTAATGCAACTTTAATCTCGGTCAGGACGTAAAGTTGTCACATGAAAGATTTGATACCTCCTATCGTAATTCTTCACCTTGGCGAACGTTAATCTTTCAATTTTTATACACTATTCACTTAGCTCATTTTCTTCGGACTATCATTTTTTTTTGAACTCACTTGGTAAGTTTCGTACTTTCGTACTTTCGTACGTTGGTTCCTTCGTAAAATATATATTACATCTATTCACATTTTAAATCCTTCAAACACTCGATGTCGCATACGTTTGTAATTGTAGATACGATAGGAAGTATAACATAGCGAAAAATACGAATCTACGAGCTGTAACTCGAACTCTTTATCTCGCGACGTTATTGCGGACGAATATTTTCCGTTCGAGACTCTTCCCTGGCGTGAGAGAGTCGCTCCATTAATCTTTCGTAATGGTTTCGATCGTCCTTCCGTAGCGAGCGTCCGTGTGTACATTTATTGGTATGCGTGTGAGATATACACTTATATACACGTAGGTATACGTGTATATGTGTAATGCGTTCGCGAATGCTCGTTCGAAATTCACTTTGCTTTATTTAATCTCTTTCGTGCGTATCGCACTCTACTTTTGCTATTCTATCGATTCAAAATACCGAGTATATACGAGTAGAATCCTTTGATACGACCAAGTTTACTATCTTTTCCGAGCGCAAATAAAGTAAATAAAATTCGTATAAGTAAAAAGATAAAGTTTGCAAGATAGCTTGGTTATCAACAAGCCTTTTCCTTCGTGATTAGATTATTATGGTCAGTGCGAAAAAAATAGCAACGAAAATAATATGAAAAGTGAAACAATGAAAAGAGACTACGCTATCATTTTCTTTCTTTTTATTATAATATTTAAGTATTTCAATGTATCCTCTCTTCAAACACATACGAGTAAAAAAAACGTTACAAACTACAGACAGAAATGGATGACTGACGAGGAAAATATATTTATTAACGCGTAATCAAAATGTTAATATAATACATTCTTTATATTATAATTTAACGTTTAAATGATATGCTTAACGGAACCATCGATGAGATAGAAAAGAGGATGCTTACATATTTCAATTTCACGTATCATCGTCAGAAATATTATTGACTTATATATATATTTAACGCTTTAACAAATCTAAAATTGAACGAGTGTAAACTAATCGTTTTTTTACTATTCAATCACGATAGGAAAAAATTGTTGATATACCTATTCATTGGAAGAAAAACGTGAGAGATTTTCTTCAACAATAAAAATAATATATCTTACGAAAGAGAGAGAGAGAGAGAGAGAGAGTGAGTGCAACGACTTATAGTGTTATTATTTGCATTCCCGAAGATCACGTGTATTTTCGTGAAAGAAGAAAAATATGGAGAGTGGAGAGAGGAGAGAACAGAAGGAAGAGGGGGAAAAGAAAGAGGAGGAGGTGGGGAGGTTGTGGAATAACGTGGTAAAGAGGATGACGGGAGCGAGAATCGGGCGAAATATTGGAAAGCGGGCTGCACGGTGAGATAAAACGTTTCATAAAACAGACATCGATTCCATATTACCTAGCGCCACATCGACGTGGATTTAAAGCTACGTCGTGAGATCCCCCTGGGTACTCACCCGGCTGGATAGAAGAGCAACAGAGATGACGCCAAGCGAAAGACGATCCGAGGAATATGCATTTCGTTATTGCATCCAGTCGCATTCTATCCATCATTACTTTTTCTACTCGAACGCATTCCACTAATCAAAGTATTTTTATCGTATACTTTTCCAAACGACGATCTGATTAAAAAAAAAAAAATCGTCTCTTCTAATGTAATATACAATATTATATCCGTGACCAGAAAAATATATCTTTATAAGATCAAAAAAAAAAAAGATGTCAAGCCAAAATTATTCTTAAATATCTCAAAAAGAAAATACTATCGAATTTATTTTCCATCGTTCTAAGAATACATCGTCATTTTGTAGAATAATAATTCAAGTGTACGCGAATTTGATCGTGGCGTTTTATAAATCTCTGCAAAATTTCGGTTATATATTTATGCTTTTATTAGAATTAAAGACACGCGCGTTTACGTTAATGAACGTTACTTATTTTACAGGTTTGAATAAAAACGTTCGATGAGATTATTAATATGCCATCTATTTATCTTGTTTAAACAAAAAAATTTAACTTTACATCGGTTTTTCATAATTTTCGACAAGAAAAATATAATTAACGTTCATTAAGTTTAATATATATTCCAAATTGTAACATAACGAATGCGCGCTAATCGTAGTAATTCAAACGTTTGCATAATATATCTAAAAAAATTATATGATGACAAAAAATATCTTATTAATTATAAATAATTTCAATATTAAATCGTTTTATTTATTCACTTGTATGGATAATAGGAACCTAACGATTTGAAATTAACGAAGGAATTCTTTTATCCCCGTTTGATTTTTTGCAAAATCGATCGGACGGAAATAAGAGGAGTATTCATGAAATATATTAAATAACAAGCGGAAAATTTCATCACATTATTCTCTTACACGTACACGAGATTCTGTATACCAGAGTTTTCAATGAGATATATCTTTAGCTATACCAATATGATAATTATTCTATCGTTGTGAAATAATTATATTCCCTGTTAAAGTATTGGTAATATTCATATACCTTTTCAATTCTAACTAATTAATCACTATCTAAGAATAGATTCGTATTTTTTCTTTTATTCTTCTTTATTGTTTTTTATTTTTCTATTTCAATTTTATTTTCGTAAACCAATTCACTGTCCGAGTTCAAATTTCATTGGGCGAAAACTTTTCGGTATGCGTCAAGCTTCCTCAATAGTCCCACGAATTTTTAGAATTCTTTAAAAAAGTAGAACACCGTGATTGTAAAAGCGAATACGACAGATTTAAAGAGGAAACTAATCGATAAAATCAATCCAAAAAGTAATGCACGATTTGTTAAATTCTTTCCTTTTGAAATGTAATCCTTTTGAAAATGTAAAAACCGATATTTCATCATTTCTCATATATTTTTATATTAAACAATTATTTTTATATTATAACAGATCTATCACACAATTCATTCTTGTTTCTTCTTTCTTCTTTTTTTTTGTGGCTTCTTCTTCTTTTGTTCATTTAAATACAAGTATTTAATACATGTCATTAGATACATGTATTACATGTAATTATATAAATACATTGTCATTTAGATACAAGTGTGTATGTCTATTATGTTGCTAGCCTGAACATGCGTGCCGGAAAAAAAGAAAAAAATATATTGACGAGTGAATTTGAAAGGGTGAGAAACTAACGATCATAAGAGAGTATCGAGAAGTTCATTGTAAGACGCGAAAGAATAAAAAGTTATTCTACCAAATATCAAGTTTTAAATCATTACTAATGTTTACAGAATCTATTCGGCAAACTTTTCGAAAAAAATTCCGGTAAATATAATATATAAAAATAGATAAATACTGAATTGTATTATTTCAATTTAAAAATATTTCAATAGACAAAAATATTTCGGAATTTCTGCATTTATAATATCCATTATCTAAATTAAACACATTATGCTAATTTAATTAATGAAATGAACAAAAGACATTTTCGATTATTTACATTTTTATTCGTTTTATACGTTTGTTAGATTTGATTAAATATGGATTAGAAATATCAATCATAAAAATAAACTGAATAAATTGTTTTCTTTTTTAGAATTGACGCTCAAGAAAAGTCAGTGACCAAAGCGCAACATTCCTCGGATTCGGGAGTATTTGGACCACGAGCTTATTTTCGAATCGCCTTTCCGAAACCTGCAGTTCTCGTGATCGAAGACATCAAAAGGCACGATGCGGCGACTTATAGGTGTAGAGTCGATTTTCGAAAAGGACAGACGCGAAGTTTCCGTTACAACCTCACCGTCATCGGTAAGATTACTATCATTTATTTTTCTACATTTTTATCTTTTTAAAGTGAAACGATAACGATCAAATTTTATGAAACAATATGGAAAGAAAGAGAGAGAGAGGGAGAGAGAAAGTAAGATAGACCTTACAGTTGATCGATAGTTGAACGAGATCATGGAAGGTTTAGTTTAGTTTTGTTTGTGTGTGTATATATATAAGATACGTTTCTAGATTATTAGATACAATTATGGTTTAAATAATCCTAAATATTAATAGAGTACAATAGTAATATTCGACATACCTTAAATAATTATTAATTAATCAAAGGAAATGTATATTGTAGTCTAAAAGCACGAAATATATGATCTACGATCCGTCCTCTTCGAAATCCCTTGTTAGACTGACATGGTGTCCTCTGTGAATGTTCTTTTATTCAATGTTGTTTTCCTTACTTTCCGTAGCCTCTAACTTCTATTTATTACGAATATTCCTTAGTTTATACATATAAAATCTTCGGAAAGTCATAAAAACAACAATCAATAGAAAAATTTTAATCGACTTTCTTAGAGAACAATAGATTAGTTTACTGTTGGATTTCGAAGATGACGATACGTCGAATTTATATTCTGTGCTTTTGGACTGCAATATACGTTTCCTTCGATTAATTAACAATCATTTGAGGTATGTGTAATACTGTAATGGACTCTACTAATATATTTGATTGTTTATATGAAAATACATTTCTTTCAACATTTCTATCCAATGATCACTGGACACAATCACAAATCAATAATAATTTTCAAGCAAAAATTACAATAGTAAGCGTAACGGTGTACGATTTTAAGAGACACTCACTGTATATATGAATCAATCGAATATTTTCCACATGTGATAGCACGAGTTTCACTTCTATTGCGCATTTTTTTTTTTTTTTTTTTTTTTTATAAAAAAATAATAAACCAATAATCGTGTTTTTCGTCGACGGCAAAGTGTTTTACTTGTAAATGAATCTATNACTCACTGTATATATGAATCAATCGAATATTTTCCACATGTGATAGCACGAGTTTCACTTCTATTGCGCATTTTTTTTTTTTTTTTTTCATTTAAAGAAGTTACAATTAGTTCGACTCAGGAAAACAAAAATATGGGAGATATTTTTAAGTACATAAAAAAATGTTCGACAAAAGAACGAGACTGTTACTCTCTGAACATGCATATCGGATGCGTGTTTTCATGTCAAAATCACTACACGTATCATGATACTTATATATCATACACGTATTCTCGTGTGAAACCGTAGAGTATGTTTCCTTCGCTCGTATGATCTTACTATCACTCATGTACTGCAACTACTACTTTGTACTTCCGAGGATGGCGAAAAGTGCACTTCTCATGCAAGGAGAGGGGAATAGGTGAGTCTGATCAAACAAATGGTAACTGTTGAAAAATTCATGAGCCAATCGGAGACGTGCAACCTCGACTGACTTTCTATTCCCCTCTTTCTCGTCAACTCTATCTCTCTTCAAACTTTCTTCTCTTGTGCGTCAGCATATATTCGTGCCATGAAGCGCACGTACGCGAATCACCGTTTTTCCTAACCCTTCTTTGTACTTAATCTCCAGTCAAAATCGCTTTTCGCGTGTAATCCTCCTACCACATTTACCCCGGTACATACTCGAGTTACGCTGAACTAAGTATTGTATAAGACTAATGTGATTGTACGCATTACGAGCAGGAAACGTAATGCTTTTTAAATGCGTTCAAGTATGATTAACATGGAAAACTTCGTTATCGTGGATATAATCTTAGAATATCATTCTGCGTATCTTTACAAATTCAAAATGCATATGCATATATATATTATCGTTAACCTTTCAAGTACGATGCACTCATCCGCAACTCTGTCTCCCAGGTACGATGCACCTGGCCGCGGATGGCACAAAAAACTCTGTTCATAACAATTTTCAATACGACATTATGTGGGAATAGAATTCAAAATGAATAAATTATGATTTCGTTATACATTTTTTATGTATCATCGAATCAAATAAGAAAAAAGTATAAAAAAGGTATAATATATATAATATTTTTCATAATCATGATATATATCTACAGATGTAATTCTAGTAACATAGCGTTCAAATTGATACTTTTCACGAAAGCTACTATAATAGTGTATAAAAGGTTCAAAATGGATTCATTTTAAATTTCATACTTTAACTGTGCTCACTTCTCGAAAATTTATATAATTCCTTGTTAATGTAATTCTGCCTTATTTCAAACTTTAACTGGTCGGTCGTATAATTATTTCATGAATTTCACGTTTTAAAGATAAAAAATATATATTTTTCATCGTGCACTCATATTTGATATATTCGATTGAATATATAGCGGATTCAGAAATAACTCTTCAATCCAAATACTCTTTCTTTTTCGATGGTTCTACTCGAAGAGTTATAGGATGGTAGTGTGGTGGTAGTCGATCATAAAGTCCACGACATACGGAGGTGTAACTTTCATGGAAGGTCTTCAAAGCAGTCGGTAACAGTAGGTTCAAATCTCGGGAAGCGTATAGCTTGCGGCAGGAATATAACTTGGTAAATCGTGCTCTCTCGATCCTTCGATACCAAAATCCATCTACCGCGCCAATTCTCCACACTTTCCCTCACCTTTAACCCATTCGCATGAGGTTAGAAAGTGTGCGCATACGACTAGAGAGGGCAAGCGAGCGGAAGCAAAGAAGAGCAAGGGAAATAGAAATGACGGGAGCAAACTCGACGGAATGGAAAGAAGAAGCAAGGCCATAGAAAGAGAGAAAGAGAGAGAGAGAGAGAGAAAGTGAAAAGAGGCAAGGTTGAAAACGGCGTAAGTGTCGCAGTGCAGATTTCAAGAAGAACCTTCGGGCTAACGTGGAATTTCTCTTCCTCTCTTTCTTGCCCGCCTCTTTTCCTCCTCAAAACCCGGTTTGTATCTTTCTTTCTCTCGACACTATGTGCACGCACCCTTCAAACTCTTAACTCGAATCTTTCTCCTTCCCTCAATCTTTCTCTTTCCGTTTTTCCCTTTGTCCGTTTCATGACTTTTGTGTGCATCTGCGTGTGTGTATATGTGTATTACTGCAACTCAGAGAAATACGACAACGACAACGACAACGAATACGTTGACGAAGAAAGCAGCTGCCCTTGTGCAGGACGACCGAGTCAAACGTACTTGAGGTATTCCAAAAAAAGAAACGAATGAAATTGGCTGCCGTGGATCGCTAGGAACCCCCGACGGAGATCGAGGTATTTTCATCAGAGAAGATTGGTTCCCGTGAGTTCCTGGATTGCGTCCCTCCAAGCTCCTGTGGACTTTACCAGACTAACCGCCGTCCTTCTGCAAACGATGCACTGCCAGAGACTCCTCTCTCCATCCCCCTCCTCCAACCCCCTTTCTCTTTCCCTTTCTTCTTCACTATTACCAACCTCCCAGTACTTTCGTTACTCGCTTCTGCTATTCGCTCTTTCCTTTTTCCGCCATATTACGTTCAATTTCTGCGAACCATGCTTTTTCCCTTTCATTCCCTATTTCTTTTTCCTTTCGAATAAGATTGACTTTATTCTTCTTGACCGATCGAACCTTGATAAAACACAATCAAATCGGAAACCCACGGCGAACTTGTATCGTTCATTCTTTGGAGAATATGATAACGAATCTGAAAATAAGATCTTGTTTATTTTGTTATTTATTATAATAATAAAAGAGATTTATATCGATCAGGTTGCAACAGGTCATTTGTTGATATCTTGCATTTGAAATTAATTAGTCTGAGATAATGAGAAAATGTATGATATTATTGAATTCATATGACACAAATAAGATTTATTAAAGAAGAAATCGTAGTTTTCGTAGATATCACGACTAGCGTGGAAAATTAGTTTTCCGGTCATCGCGTGAATTTTGTTCATCTCATTGAGACGTGCGTATTACTTAACTCGTAATTACTTAAGGGGGTTAAAGAGAAAAGGTGAAATTAAAAAAAAGAAAAAAGAATAAAAGAGTAAAAACAAGGACCAAAACGATACAATAACGACAATGACGATGACGATTAATTATTATATCTAATACATGTAAAATTGTAATACACGCGCATTTAGAAGTACTTGCTTACAGAGTACATTAATACCCAGGGCTAGAGTTGAGGTATTATTACATTATCGTATTACATATTGTATCATATCTAACAATGTCGCAATATTATCATATCGCATATGCACGCAACACCATTATTACCCTTCTCATCTGACGCTCACGAACGCACACTTATCTCTTTTATTTAGATTTTCAAATGTAACATTAAAACGAAATTTTGGAATACGTAATAGCGCATTATACGAGAGAGATTAAAGTTTAATAATAATAATATCTCTTCAAAGAATACTACGTTCTCTTGTTTATTTACTATTATTATGATTATTATCATTATTATTTTTTCATTTTTATTTTTGTGTCCGGTCTTAATTACTGCCCTCTTTTTTTTTTTTCTTTGTGAAAATTAGATTTTCTTTCGTAAAAAGTGACGTAACGGAACAGTTTTTTCCGTTTTGCATCAAAGAAACATATACAAGAGGGTAATTTGAAATTGTCTGTTAAATTCTTGCATATCTCTCTGCAGATAGATAAGGTCAGAAAAAAGTTTGTACTAGGAGAGGAGAGTTTGCTACAAGCGAACACGATTCTCCATGCATTAACAATTCCGAAGCATATCGGAACGACGTATAAAACGTGCCCAACGATGGAGAAAGAACGAAAGAGAAATTTTCTACTATCCGACGCTTAGCTATTATACAGTATACAGACTAGACTGTAAATGTGGGATAGTACGCGAGCTTTACTCCGAGAGATTCAAAGGGGAAAATAAAGCTGGGCCGCTACGAACGCGACAACTAGCTTGGATATTTTCAAGAAGGCTTTAACGCGTACGTTTTTGTCTACCGAAAGAACAGCCGCATATGACAACGGCGGAAACCGCACTACGA